AATGACTATAAAATCCCCATATTTTCTGTACATAAATGAACCCTGTAGTAAATTGCTTCCCGCACACTTTGTGCCTTTTCTCTGGTCTTCAAGTCGGTGTATAGTTCTAGCTCGGGGGTACGGAACCAACTTAGGGAAGCGAATATAGCGTTCACAATCGGCCAGACGTAACATTTAATAAAGCCAGAACAAATATTGATGCAGAATAATATGAATTCATTATACTTCGTGGTTTCTCGTCAGCTTACTTACGCCTGTTACTCCCAATGGAGCATAGGCCGCCGACCAGCATTCTCCAACCCATTCTGTCCTGGTCCTTCCTCTCCAGTTCTATTCAGTATTTGTTCATCTTTCTCATGTCTGTCTCCATTTCTCAGCGTACTGTGTTATTTAGTCTTCCTCTTCTCCGTTAACCTTCAGGATTTCCATGTGAGGGCTTGTCTTGTGACGCAGTTGGGTGACTTCCTCAGTGTGTGTCCTATCCACTCGTCAGCTGCTTAAGACCAAATATGTTTTAGAATTTCAGCATTGAGATAAGAAACATTATGTAACAATTGACATAAGTGAATGTAAAGGATCGGAATGACTAAAGGTTATCAATGATTACCATTTATATATATATATGCAAAAAAAGCTCAGAGATTATTAGGTGTTAGAATCAAGGAAACATAAAGGGTGGGTGGTTTAATAGTTGAGTGGAGTTCAGAGATAGATAAGATAAATTGTGTGATAATTTTAGAAGTAATAAAGGGTTCATGGAATTAAAAACGAATAGGATGGGTTACGTAATCATTGAATAGAATTTGAAAACTTCACATAATTTAAAAGAATCAAGTGAGGGGAAATGTGTGAGTGAGATAGTGGTTTAGGAATTCGGTAATGGGATAGGAATATAATACAAACTAAATATTAACAAAATAAAACTAATAAATAAACACAAAAAATTGGGGTACCAGCGCTTTAACCGGTTTGGTGGACACGGGAAGTCCACCTAGAGGAGTTGGAAAACACTGATTCCAAACCAATGGTGCACATTGGCTCCAGTATCCTGAGGAGACAAATGGCGTATGAATGAATCGCTGGTCACCGGCTAACATGGGGCTGTATCTCCTCACGATGCTCCACTGTTTTGTAGATTAGACCTTTAGGTCAAAGGCTCCGGATGGCCCCCTAAGGAAACCATCTACTTCGGTTTGGGCACCTGAGCAGTATCACAGCCCTCACACAAATGAAATGAGATTTGTGTGACGCATATATATATGGTGCCCCTTTGTACCAATATTTATGTGTTTAAATAAATAAACTCTTTTTGAATACATAGATCCGGCTTAAGTTTTATTTATCGCGATCGCTTCAGCAAACCGGAGAGCAGCCGTACTTCTTTGTTTGCTAATAATTTAGAAAGCATGAGAAATTTCAATGGTATACCCGGCGTCAAGTAAATGCCGAGCTGATGCACTGTTGAAAGCTCTGGTCCCTCGCAGCCTCAATTTCTTTGGAATATGCTCAGAAATGCGAACATGTACTCTTCTCTCGGCTCTTTGGCACGTACATGTAAATTGGTAAATACAGTTGGAGCTATTGAGAAAAGAGGACTTGTCGATTTTAGTTTGTTTGAGTGAGCAGTTCGTTTCCCACACCGTTGTCAGTTTAACTGCTGGGTAGGTCGCTTTCAACGCGGAATTAATTCTGTGATTCATTATACCAGCAATTTCATCTCCTTTGAAGTGTAAGTATAAGAAGCAAGTTTTCTTTTCCACTCGATCATACTTTACCTGAGGGTTGGTGTTTGCATATGTGTGGATGAATTTCGCCGGATATGCATTTTCAAGTAGGCACTTAGTGATTAAAGCGATTTCTTCTTCCAGACATTCATTAGAGCAGATTTTACGTGCGCGGTCATAAAGAGTTCGTACAATACCCTTTTTGTAACTCATTGGACAGAAACTGTAGTAATTGAGATATAAACCACTCCAGGTGTTTTTGCGATGAATATGTTTTTGTAATGTACCAACTGATGTTCGTCTAATTCTAGTATCTAGGAAATGGAATTTACCTTCAACTTCATGTTCCATGGTAAATTCTATAGCCTTGCGTGCTTTATTAAACAAACTGAGTGGATTCGTGGAGTGCTTGTGATTGTTGCAAACAAGAAGTGTGTCATCAATGTATCTGCAATAGAGTGTGGTACCATGGATGGCATGCTTAAGCTTATTCTGTTCAAGGTTCACCATAAATATGTAGGCTAGAATTGGACCCAAAGGGCTACCCATGGCTACTCCATCAATTTGACGGTACAACATTGTTGAATTTGGGAAAAGCGATGAGACCTCAAATAAGACCATGAATTTATCAGAAGCATTTATATTATCAAGTTTTTGTACAAATTCAAAACTATCTTTCAGACTGTAGGGTGCTAGTTTCTCCAAGCACTTTGTCAGCCAGACGGCAAGTTTATTAAATGGTGATTTGGTCATGGATATTATTGGTCTTATCGGGATGTCGGTTTTGTGTATTTTGGGTAGGCCGTATAAGTATGGTAATTGTGATCTTTTTGGTTTGAGTGCGTTATATGTATGATTATCTATTAGATTTTTCTTCAACAGTTCTCTCAACTTTCTAAATAGACGCTTCTTAGTTGCATCTGTTAAGTCTTTCTGGGTGTTGTCGATGATAAATCTAGTGGGATCATTTAAAGTGGACATAACTTTGATGATGTATTCATCTCTGTTTAAGAATGACTACACACGGCCGTTTCGTATTATTATGGAACTCCTCAGTAGTGCTCATCCACGATCCCGCCTCGCGAGATTCGAACCCAGGACCTACCAGTCACGCTCCAGAGCACTTAATCGGTAGACCACAGAATCGGCATCCAACGGTGTTAATGTCTATCTTCAACCAGTCCACGAAATCTGAGCAATGGTCAATACTTTTGATTGTGGGATTAGTGTCGTAACAGACAATGCATGAAGGGTTGTGCAAAATCAAAGGATGTGATCTTGATATTTGATTGGATAACTTGTACAAATTAACACCAAATTCATCGAAAATCATGGATTATTAAGTAAACTATTTTGTTTAAAATACAATGATCGTGAAAAGAACTGATTATCTTAGTCTCTTTTTTGGTATTGTAGACCATTAACGTTGATGGTCTATGTCAAATGATTTAAGGCCTACTCGGGTTAGACGGGAACGGTGTAACGAGCAATCTAACTTCGAAATCACACCTCATGACCAGCACCTTACGTGGATTGCCCCATCGATGCATCAAGGGACCATGGATGCTCTGAAGACTGTACAACATAAAGGACGTTATTACAGGAATATATTAGTTAAAGTAGATACAAGCGAAAGTAGAACCACTGCCACATGGGCCAGTCCATGGCACATGATTAACTGATGCGCGTTGATTGTCCTTGACCTTGACAGGGATCGATGATCTGTTCCATATTCAGTGACCTAACTGCCGGATGATTTGGCTAGGGTTCAGAGACATTTCACTGGCCCTACAGTATCATCTATCCTTTCTATTGTAGTATATTAAACTCAAGTGATACATATATATATATTAGAGATCTTTGTCAGTTTGAAATAAGTGGCTATTACAAATCTAAAGATTCTTTGTCATATCTAGAGCTTAGATTCTTGACATTACGCATGCAACTTGAACGCTAGAACCTTCCAAGTCACAAAATGAGAAGACAGCAGATGATTGATAAGGAATGTTATTTCAAAAGTGTCAAATATGGTAAAAAAGACTCAAGTATTTATAGTTTTTAGTAAAAGCAAAATTATCATTATAGTCATTCAATCCCCATACAGTGGTTTTTTTAGTATTTGTCCAATAGAGAAGCTGTACATCGAGATTCTGGAATGCTCTTTTAAAAGATAACTGTATGGAATGTTTTCGTCTCTTTATGAGCTTCTTAGAGTTTCTTCAAGTTCACTCTTGGGTCGTCCTCACATTCTTAAACTCATTCTCATGAAAAGTACTGTTATATCTAGGGCTTTAGGCTGTCACTATACCGTGTACTACTAGACTACTTGAACGATCGAACCCTCAACGTCGCAAGAGAGAAGACAGAAGATTAGTAAGCAGGAACGTTATTCCCAAACACATTGTCCTATATAGTACAAAAAATTTCATGTATTTGTAATTTTGGCTGAAAGTAAATCATCATTTCAGACAGCCAATAGGCACATAGGGGATCCTTCCTATTCATTCAATAGGTAAGCTAAAAGTCAACATTCTAGGATGTTCCTCTAGTGGTGTTTCAGTTGATTCTTCTAATTGTCTTCCATGGAATTCTTGGAATGAAGATAATTCTTACCTATCAAATATTGTGTATCTGATAAACTTACAAGTTTTATCTATACTTCAGTAGTAACTTAATACTGACTTTTAAGCTGGCTAAACTATCTCTTTGTCTGTCATCTTACCATCAGTTAAATCTTAATACTTAAATTATTATATTCACTTGATCTTATCATTTGTTTAATGTCCAGAATAGTAAATTAATGATCCGATCAAAAGATCAATTTACAAAAGTATTGATTATTAAATCTGAACCTTGTTCATATTCGAAGACAATTCCTCTATAAATTCTTGAGTAGATCGATAGAATTCCTCCAAAAAAAGGCTCTGATTACGCTAAGAAACACCTTATCGAATCAGTTTTCAACAAACGTTTTGTCAGAAACATCTTGAAAATGAAAAATCCTATGTCACCTTTTTGATTGGATGATTACCTATACTGCTACTATGTTTAGTAGCGTTCCAAAAATTTTCCAGAAGCCTGATGCCATTCAAAATGTTATAAACACCTTAGATTCTCTATACATTAGAGAACCTTTTCTCTTGTATTTAAATTGCTGTGTAGATTTAGTCCCAGGGGTCGGGGGTGATGGTTACTAAGAGAGCTTAGCAACCAAATCTAGGCATTCAAATTAGAAAACTTATCATAAATAGATTGAAATAATAAAAAAACAAACAATTGTAATCTTTCTTTTCTTTAAATTACATTTTCATTTATTGCACATAAATATACTCTATAATAGAGTATAAACTCTTCTATATATGAATATTGTATATATGTATATAGATCAATAAATTGCATAGCAACAATGCTATAGTTACCATGTTAACAAGTTCATGTAGAAAAAGAAACAAAAAAAAAACATTTTTTTGTTTCCATTCACTCTTTATTTTATCGAATCATTAATATAAACAAACAACATAATAAGTTCAATATTATTCTGGAAACAATAATGAATAAGTAAATTAATGTTCTAATTTATTCAGTTGGTATAGATTTAATACGTTCATACATTGATCGTTTACCCATACGCATATTACGTAATCCACGTTTATGATAATCTGAATATCTTCTTATATAATTAATTGGATAATCATAATTTGGATATTTTTGCCATAGATCTAAATCATCTAATTCTGTATAACTAATTGTATGCTGAAAGTGTATACCTATAAATAGAAAAGAAAAAGAAATCATATATTGAATATATATTGAGATAAGATGGTAGTTGGAGGCGGTCAACAGGAGACCTTGGACTCGGCTTTCGTGCTACTTGGCACTTGTCAGCAAGGTATACCTGTAATCCTGAAGGAACCGATTCTCCCTGGCGGATTCGATCCCGTGTCACTCAGCTTCACAGTCTGAGACGTTACCACTGAGCTATTCGGGTCGCGACCGACCTCCTGTAGGACTGAGATGTAATCACAATTGATTGATCACTGGGTGGTGATCAATGTCATGTGTGTCAAGTCCTTCTTATTGCTGATCGAATGCTATCGAATGGTGGCCACATTGTAACTTGATCGATAGCATTCGATCAGCACTAAGAAGGACTTGACACGCATGACATTGATCACCACACAGTGATCAATCAATTGTGATGGGATAGATATCTTAGTAAGGGAGTCCTTAGAAATGTGAATGCATGAACAACTACTCGAGAACTGAACAACGACGTTTGTTCTAATTTGTGAACGCTTAACCTCTAGACCACTAAGTCGGTAATTATCAGTGTAATTGTCTAATTTTAACCAATTCTTGTAGTATTGTTTGTTTGAATCTTCCCATTGATGTGTTAGTACTGTAACGGGTCAGTCTCTAATTGGAATATGTGAATAGTGTGCGTATTGCCTCGATATAGCCTTAATTCACAAGCGTGGTAAGCAGAGATGGATAGTGGCTAGCAGTGGAATCCAGTTTGATGCGTGTTTCGTCCCATTTGGGACTCGTCAACTGGATGTACCTGCATCTCAGAGTTGATGTTCACTCTGGGAGGAACTCGAACCCAGTACCATTCGCTTCAAACGTCATTGAATTATCCACTTAGCCACTGAGTCTTAGAGTGAACATCAACTTCGAGATGTAGGTACATCCAGCTGACGAGTCCCAAATAGGACGAAACACGCATCCTGGATTCCACTGATAGTCACTATCCATCTTTTGCCTACAATCCTTGTAGGTTATGAACAGCTATTTACCACAGGCAACGGATGGAGGTTTGCTTAAGATGTTAAACGTCAACAGCTTTGTATGTCGACCTTAAAGGTCTAGGGTCTGAGGTTCGAGTCCCACGCGCGAAGTCGTGAATGCTCAAGTTTCCAATGGTAGTCTAGCTAAGATGAACTTGGGATTTCAACAGTGAAAATACTACAATCTTCACAAATCCTTTATTTTGCTTTATTTTATCGAGTGTGAACTGTTGATTATAAATAATCATTAAGATTGAAAATGTTCAGATTCATGTATTGTAACAATTTGATTTGATTTCATTAACTATAGAACATGAAAGTCTTTAATTTAGTCCGATGTCTAGTTGTAAAGTTTGTATTTCTGAATAATCCCAAACAAATAGATATCACCAAAAACAATCGCATGATAATTTTAGACCATTGAAATTTACTAAAATTGTAATTAAAATCTATCAAATGCAAGTTCAGTGGTCTAGAGGTTAAGCGTTCGCGTTCGATAGATCTTGCGTTCGAGTCCTACAAATGGGGTCGTGGATGGGCACTGCTGAGGAGTTAAGATGGTGGTTGAAGGTGGTCAACAAGAAACCCCGAACCCGGATTTCGTGTTACTTGGCATTCATTACCACTCGATCAGCACTAAGAAGGACTTGACACGCATGACATTGATCTCCACCCAGTAGTCTATCAATTGTGACTGCTGAGGAGTTTCATACTAGGATAAAATAGCCATCCAGTACTTATAGGTTTTCCATAATGGTCTAGCTTCCTTTAATTGACTTATGAATTCAACTAATAACTCACCATAATATCCACAAAAACCTTCATTCTGATTCAAAAACAAAATAATCAACAAGATTAAATGATCAAGTTACTTTGTTTATCATTTAATAATGATAATAATAATAAAACAATCCCTGAATAAATATGATTTGTTTATTTACTATATCCATATATCCCTATTTTGTCACATCATTCTTCATCAGATAAACAAACAAACATTGTAAACAGATATCTTATTATCCCCCATTGCATGAATGTCATTCATAACTGAAGTTATGGATTAATCAAGCAAAGTAAAGAATTGGAAATGAGTAGAGGGGGTTGATGATGGAATGGTGGAGGGGGTGGGAAATGATCTGTTAATCCTACATGATATTATTATTATTATTATTGTGTTGTTTAATTTATTAATGAAATACATATATACTACTTATATACTTACATGAATACGTGCATAAATGTATTTTGTACCATTATTTTAGAGTATTATAATATGCTTTCAAAATTATGACAAGTCTTGTTTACTCTTAATTAAGTAAATTTACATAATATAGTAGGCAAAGATGGATAGTGGATAGCAGTGGAATCTAGGACGTGCGATTCGTCCTATTTAGGACTCGTCAGCTGGATGTACCTGCATCTTAGAGTTGAAGTTCACTCTGAGACTCGAACCCAGTACCTTACGCTTCAAACGCCATCGCAATATCCACTCGGCTCCTTAGTCCATCTTTGCTTACCATGATTGTGAATTCAGGCTATATCTAGGCAATACACACAGTATGCACATTAGAGATTTAGATTAGAGATTTACCAGTTGCAGACGATCCAATTGGGAATATTCAAGCAAACAATACTAAGTAAATTACATAATATAGTTAACAGGAAAAGAAACACAGTGATTATTTTTATAGATCATAAGGGGTTTTGTGAAGATTTCAGTATTTTCATAGTTGAAATCATGAATCGATTGAAGCTAGACCACTATGGAAAATCTGAGGAGTTCGACAATGGGACGAAACGGTCGTCCAGTGCTTTCAGGTTTTCTATGGTGGTAGTCTAGCTTCAATTGACTCATGATTTCAATTATGAAAATAGTGATTATTTTTATTATTAACAAAATAAAACTATTTGGTAAAATTAAGAAGGTTAGTGTGGTTATGGAATGTTCTAGCCTTGGATCGACTCTATCTGAAGCAATTTTGAACTCCTCATTAATGTGTTCCAAATGGAGATCTAAGCTGAGTATCTTCGAATTTAGTGTCTAGAATAACAACTTGAAACCAATACATTTACATTTTTTTTGTAAATCATCAAGCCAAACCAGTGTCAGGTAGAGACAGGTATCTAACTTAGTATGATGGAAGATGGTCGCGCAACTTCATGGATTGATGGAAGTTGGATATTAACACAACTGGGTGCCAGCTAAGTTGTCTAGAGGTTGAAAGAGTTCGTGCGAGACAGATCGAATATTCCGTGTTCATGTGATCCCTCGTGCAAAATTGTGGATGTGCACTACTGAAGAGTCCTATAATAGAACGAAACGGTTGTCCAGTGCTTTCAGGTTTTCCATGGTGATCTAACATCAATCGATTCATGATCTCAATGAAAAACCTAATAATCTTCAAAACGTCATACTGATATAAAAAACATTGTCAAAATATTAAAACCGGAACAATGGTAGTAAGCAAATTAAAACTATTGAGCTCTTACAAGTTTTAATACTTCATTGACGTAATACTCTTCAAGCTTACAGATCCTGTCTTTACTGACTTAAAAATACTTTAACGAATTGAATGTTTGAATCTTTGCATTGATATATATGACTACAATTGATCAGTCGCTTATTGGCATATGTCCATCCTGTGAAGATTGCCTAGATATTGTCTTAAGTTACTAGCATTATAAGTAGAGATGATAGTGTCTAGCAGTGGGATCCAGCTGACGATCCCCAAATAGGATAAAACGCTGGTCCTTGATTTCACTGCTAGCCACCATTATCTCTGCTTATAATGACTTAAAAATAGTTATGAAATCAAAGGGCTATTATTGTATCAGGGTGACAGAACAGTTGCAAGTCCAAAATTAAGTGAATTCAATTGTTTAGGAATTATGAATGAAATTATTCACCTTACTTCTGGTTAATTGACGAATTATTATTGTTATTTAAACATATAGACATTGGCACAAGGAGACACCAGATAGATATACGCCACATAAATCATTCGATTTGTGTGAGGGTTCGGATACTGCACAGGTGCTCAAAACGAGACAAGTGGTTTACTAAGGTGGCCACACCCTGAGTCTTTCACCTGAAGCTCCAATCCACAAGGCGATGAAGCAATGTAAGAAGATGCAGCTGAGTGGTAGTCGGTGATCAAAGATTGGTTCAAGCGTCATTTGTTCCCTAAGGATGCTGGAGCTCATGTGGATCATCAATTTGGAATTGTGGTTTTCTAACTCCCCTAGGTGAACTTTCTGTGTACACCAACCCGGTTAAAGCGACAAACATTCGCTTATCTTCCCCTCAATTTCGTAAACTGCACCCCCGCCACGAGAAGGCAGTGAGTAGGACTTCCCTGACAGTGGTTGTCTACTCGTCGCCATGTGAGAGCATTTGAGAGGGAGAGCACTCTCTCCCCACTTTCGGCTGTACATGAGCATTTGGGGGCGATATCTGAATAATCTTCATTCTTTTAAATGTACGTTGCCAGCAACCACAATATCTTTGATTGGGTTTTCATTGTAACTGAATATGTTCCATGATTAATAGACATAATGATGTGTTAAAACAAACAAACAAAAGAAACAGATAACTTGTTGAAATATCCAGATGACAGGAACAAATAGTCCAGATATTCAAATAGTCTGCCTTCTGATGACATGGCATTAATAATTGGTGCTATATATGCGTGTGTGTGTGTGTGTTTATATACATAAAAGAAGATTGAATGTAGGGGGAATGTAGTAAGTGCATTAATATAAAAAGCAAATGCAGGAAATTAATCGACTATGACATAATAGTTCGTGTAATATTATGATCAAGATTATAAAATAGAAGTTGGGAGTACTAATGTCTGAATATCCGGTATTGTTAGACATTCCTTTTTAAAATGAGCAATCGTTTGAACTTAAATTTATTCAGATCACAAATGGATTTGCATCCTGTTGCATAAATTAAATGTTTTTTATGTATAATCAGT